ATACTCACTCTGATTTCTTGGCCATTGCTTCCGATCTTGATGCTCAGGAACGTGAGTTATATGGCGATAACCCGACTCTGCATCCCCCACAGGATAGTAATTACACTCGACATGGGGGATTCAATGTCTCTGTTTTGGAGACTGCTTTGATAAGGCGCCGACTTGATATGCAGCGTGCCCCTTCGGGTGGCGACCCGGACCACTGTTCGCACGTTTGTGCCTATATTCTACATACTCCTGCCCACTACATCGCTCTTGTCCGTGCCTCTGGTTCTTGGGAATTATGGAATGGCGGTGCTATGGTGCAAACTATTACTGCCATCTGTGATCTCGTGCGTAATTACCCTAACCTGCAACTGCTCCAGGTCATTGACCCTATGGGTACCTCGTGTACTTCCATGCCCGCCTCTACGCCTATCTCTGTGCCTGCCTCCGTACCTGTCTCTGTGCCTGTTTCTATGTCTGTCTCCTTCCAGATTACTGACCCTATAGGTACCTCATGTACTTTCGTCCTCGCCTCTGCACCTGTCTTTGTGCCTGCCTCCGCACCTGTCTCCATGCCCGTTTCTGTGTCTGTCTCCATGCCCGTTTCTGTGTCTGTCTCCATGCCCGTTTCTGTGTCTGTCTCCATGCCCGTTTCTGTGTCTGTCTCCATGCCCGGTTCTGTGTCTGTCTCCGTGCCTACCTCCATGTCTGTCACCGTGCCTGCTTTAGTCTTCATTCCCCCACATGCTGCACTAACACCTTGTGACCTCCTTTGTGAGATCACTGACACAGTTACACTTGGTTGTGGAAAGCATCGACTTTGTCGACATCACTACAACCATATAATTTTTCGGGCCCGCTGTCGGCAGGGATGCCACCTGTATCCGGATTGTGAACATCCTCTGCATCCAGATGCAGTATGTCCCATCTGTGCCTATAGGTGCTATAGCGAATGCGCACTTAACTGTGATGGTGAACGCCCCACAATGGTCATGGCCTGCAATCGACATGCCCTCTGCCGTACATGCTTCATAGGTATGGTCGATGCTAGCCGTCCTGGTTCCTGCTGTGACGAAGTTGCTTACCTGAATGGTTTTCGTCCTATAGATCAGCGGGAGGGCTGCTACCATCGCCCGCATCCTTATGATAGTTGTCCTATCTGTCGTGAGGGTCTTACTTAGACGTACCTTGCACCCTGACAAAAATGTGCAGGTGCGCTGAAAAGAGTGTACAAGAATGTGCAAAGGTGGGGAACCCTTCACTAAAACTGCAAAACAGTGAAGACTGCAGTAAAAGAAGAACAAAAGTTTGTGTCGTTTTACTTTGTTTGTACCCTGCACCCTAACACCCGCAAAGAAAAAGTCCGAAGGGTGAAAATGAGAATAAAAAGTGAAGAAGGAAGTGCAGGTGCGCTGAAAATGAACGTGGTAGACTCTTCACCAAAACTGCAAAACTGTGAAAGAAAGAAGAATGCAGTAAAAGAAAGAAAATGTTTGTGTCACCCTTATTTTATTTTTATTTTTTCTCCCTCTGCCTATCGATTTTCCTTTTCTGCTCTTCTCTCCCTTGTGTTTGACACCTCTTCCTTCACTCTGCCTCTTTCCCATAGCGTGCAAGTGGGCTGTTATGGCGTACGGGGATGGGGGCAGCTCGCACTCAACTTCATCAACGTGGCGAGCCTTGTACGTTAGAGGCACAGTGGAGGAGGCGTTAAGAAGACTGATAAACTTAATGATTTCAATGTGTCTTTGTTTCTGATTTTTATCCTTTGATTCAGTGTAAATATTTTTTGTAAAACACTGAAAGAAATAATAATACTGTGAAACAAAGTGTCATTCTGGTTTGTCTGTCTCTTTGCCTGTCTGTCCTTTCATTTTTCTTTTCTTTGCTCATCTTATTTCTTCTTCTACTTCACGTGCTCATGCTCTTAGTCAATAGTTCTGTGACAATATATGTGACAATATATATATGTATGGAACTATTGGTGCGTGATCGATTTGGTTTCTATTTTTTTTTATTTGTTGAGCTATCAAGTTTCACTTTACGATGGGTCAAATTTCATAGTACTCTGGATCTTCATAATTCAGGCGGTGATGGGGTTAGGGAGAATAGTGTGAGTAGGAGAATAGGCATATAGAGAGTGGGTTGAGGTGCTCTGTAAGAAGAACCAGGGCACTCGGTTCAGTGCGCGCGCGGCTCGGTAGGCCATCAGGAGAGGAGTGTCACGGCAACTGGGACCAAGGTCCAATCGGTCAAGCAGGCAAGTGTCAGGCCGCCCCCTAGGCCTGTGTATTAGATAGAATAGATAGAATAGATAGAATAGATAGAATAGAGAATAGGCCAAGATAGGCTTAAGATAGATGAGGCGGTATGGTAAATGGTTTGTCATTAGCATCCTTTGAAATTTCAATATGTCTACCGGTAGTGTTGTGCTACGGTTTGGCTCAAAAGTCTGAATTTGCCATTTGGTAGCGGAAATGCTACGCAGGCGAAAGCCTGTAAGCTAAGTTGGCTGATGCTGTCAGTACTCCGGGTTGAATTGTGAGGTCCCCGGACTCGTATTGGATTTTATAATGAAATGAACTTTGTCTTTTCTTGGGGAAAAAAATACAAAAAGGAAAAAAAGAAAGAAAAAGAAAAAAAAATTATAATACCCTCCCCCGCAGAAAAATAATCATTATACAGCAGTCATGTTTCGCTGAAGGAAAAAAAAACGAAAGAAAAACAAAAACGTTGTTAGCTAGGCCGTTTGGCCGGGCGCACCGGCCGGTCAAATCTCCCCAGACAGCCACCCGGCCGCCTGGCCATGCAGATTCCCCGGCTGCGCTGCCGGGCAGATTTCGCTCCTTTGCCCATGGCCCCTTTTCAGACCCAGTTCCCAGCCTGGTCCACTGGGCCCAGCTGCCAGAGCTGCGATGGGGTTCTAAGTTCCACCAAAAATCGAGCTGACTTTTCAGACCCCTTTTCAGACCCAGCGGCCAGCCTGGTCCACTGGGCTCTGGGAGCTGAGCCCAGTGGACCAGGCTGCCCACTGGGTCTGAAAATAAGGAGTCGAAGACTCAAAACGGCTCTGGGAGCTGAGCTCAGTGGACCAGGGTGGCCACTTTGTTTGTGGTTCGGGGAGGCTGTTTGTGAAGTGACGACAACGGCCGTGTGATTCTTAACGCGGTCGTTGTGTGATTCTTAAATCGAGCCGTGTGATTCTTAAAACGGACTTGAACACACACTCAAGGAGTCAAAACAGACTTCGTAACAAAGGGGGAATTCTGTTTCGAGTCCTTGAATGTGTGTTCAAGTCCGTTTTCAGTCAACTCGAGTCCCTACGTCCATTGGAGTGTGTCTGGTCTGTTTTGAGTCTGTTTTGAGTCTGTTTTGAGTCTGTTTTGAGTCTGTTTTGAGTCTGTTTGAGTTTGTTTTGAGTCTGTTTGAGTTTGTTTTGAGTTTGTTTTGAGTCTGTTTGAGTCTGATTTGAGTCTGATTTGAGTCTGATTTGAGTCTGATTTGAGTCTGTTTTGAGTCTGTTTTGAGCTGTTTTGAGTCTGTTTTGAGTCTGTTTTGAGTCTGTTTTGAGTCTGTAGGTCCATTCTAGTGTGTGTAATTATGTTCTGAGTCAGTTTCTAGTCTGCTTGAGTCTGTAGGTGCGTTCTAGTGTGTGTAATTGTGTTCTGAGTCAGTTTCTAGTCTGTTTGAGTCTGTCATTGGACAGTTTGAGTCTGTTGGAGCGTGTTTTGTGCCTGTGTGAGTCTGTTGGAGTCTGTTTTGAGTCTGTTTTAGTCTACAGGTCCGTTTGAGAATATCTGATTCTGTTTGTTCAACCTGTTTTGAGCGTGTTGGAGTGTGTTTTGGGTCTGCTTTTAGTGTGTTCTGCGTTTGTTTGAGTCTGGTTTGGGCAAAACCTGAAAGCGTTTTATAAACGAATATCAGCCCAGACAAGGGCAGAGCCAGGTGGGCGCAGAGGTACCCCACCCAAAAAAAAGAAAAGAAAAGAAAAGGAAAGAAAAGAAAAGAAAGGGCTGATTTTTCCTTGCACGGGGTGGCACGTGCACGTGACCCCCCGGCGACTTGCTCGGGGTCCACGGCCAGGCGACCCAAGTAGCCTAGGTTGTTAGCGCTTTTCTTTCTTATTTCCGATGATTTTCTGCATCTGTGATTCGTTCAGACTATGCTGGCAGGAGTGAAGCTGGAAGTTGCGGAACCATCTCCATCACAGCCAGATGAGGGATTCCTTGGTAAGGGTTCTTCTTGCCTCCTTCTCCTCCTCCTTTCTTGCCTCCTCCTCCTCCTTTCTTGCCTCCTCCTCCTTTCTTGCTTTCTTCTTTCTTGATAAGGATCTCCGTCGCAACCTCCCACGTGGTGACTTCACGGTCACCACAGTCAGCTTAACCGTTTGGTTGAGCATGCAACTCCCATGTGGGAGGTTGCGTGTTCGATTCTTGAGATCGGATCATGGACGAAATGCACTTCTTCTTCTTTCCGGCTTTCTTCTTTCTGGCTTTCTTCTTCTTGGTCTTCTTCTTCTTCTTCTTCTTCTTCACTACTCACTATTCTTCTTTCTTGGTCGTGAAATCAGACTGCACTCCAAGCTTGCTCTCAACATGCATACACACGAACTGATGGCAAAACCAAACTCGTAACTCAGAACCAACAACGAGCTTGCACTTAAACTCTCTTCAAGTCGACTGTACAACGTGCGGCTATGACCGCCGAACAGTGTCTCCACCACCAGCCTCACTCTCCCTCATGCACGCATGTACGAGGATCTACCCTGAATGTCCACGCTACACAGACACAGACACACACACTCTGTATACTCTGTCTGTGACAACAGCTGGGCGGCTATGGCCGCCGTCGTCTTCCTCCTCCTAGCTATGGCCGCCATCGTCTTCCTCCTGGCCAGCTATGGCCGTTGTCTTCCTCACCGCCCACTTCGGCTCCGGGCACCTGCAGACCTCCACGCACAAGTCACCTAGGCAACGCTTCCGCATGGCTCACAGGCGAATGGATGAATGGCTGGTCGCTGCCTCTTTATTTATACTCCTCCGCAGGTGGCCTGGCCCTGCCTCAAAACGTGTGGGCCTGGGCCTGGAAGCCTCCAGAACACGTTGGCATGCTGGACCAAAACGTGTGGAACCTGTGGGAAACCGCGTGGGACCCTCACCACTTGCTTGGCACTTGCTGACTGGACACGGCTGAGACACAACTACGACATTCTAGAACCTACAGACTTGGCCTTTCACTACAGCTAAGGCTACGGAGTCCGGACTGACTGACCCTTGGACCCACGTAGAGACAGGTAGAGAGTTCCAGAAGGCCTAAACTAGATCCAATGGTAACGTACTAACCTACTAATACGAAGATCTACGGATCAAATCCAACTGACTAACTTACTGCCCAACCTACGACTCAGGACAGGTCACGGGTTCTAATCTCACTCAGAACACAGGGTCTATGTACAGGGTATTAGGCTTAGGTCTAGGGATCGAATCTCACTCAGCACACAGTGGTCAATGTACAGGGTTCAGGCACAGGTCTAGGGATCGAATCTCAACTGTCTGCAAAAATGGGGTCAACTGGGTGAAACCGTTTCAGTCGTCTTCTTCTCCTTCTCCTCCTTCTTCTCCTCGTCGTCCTCCTCCTCCTGCTGCTGCTGCTGCTGCTGCTGCCGCCTCCTCCTTCAGTTCTCCTTCCTCTTCGTTTTTCCTCCTGAGTTCTTGCCGCCTTCATCATGATCTTCTTGTTCTTCTTCGTCTTCCTTCTCCTCCTCTTCCTCCAGCTGCCTCCTCCTTCGTTTCTCCTTCCTCTGCCTTTATCTACCCGAGATATTGCCTTTTGCGTCTTGTTCTTCGTTTCTCCTCATTCTCCCTTGATTTCCCCCCTCCCGTCGACGCTCCATTGGAGTAATTTTTCTATAGCTCTTTTGTGGCAAGCTTCATCCCAGTTGATCTCCCATTCTCTGTCTCCGTCTCCGTCTCCCTCTCCTTCTCCTTCGCCTTCTCCTTCTCCTTCTTCCATCTCCTCCTCCTCCTCCTCCTCCTCCTCCTCCTCCTCCTTCTGCTTCTTCTTCGTCCTTCCTCCTTGACCGTCTCTTCCTCCTCCTCCTCCTCCTGCTTCTCCTTCGCCTCCTCCTCCTCCTCCTC